CTCCCTCTCTTCTTGCTCCCTTATCTGGGGACGATATAGAGAGTGCATTCCGTTTTTCTTATCTTTCTCAATTTGCGTTAAGGCTTAGCGCCACATTGTTTTTTTTTGAATGTGAATAAGGGCGAGCGTGTGCTCTCGCGCGTGCGGTCGCACACAGACGCACACAGACGCACACAGACACACACAGGGAGGCGCGTGTGGGGAGAGAGAGAGAGAGAGAGAGAGAGAGAGAGAGCTGACTCAGTGTGGTGGGACTGGGGAGGAAGAGAGTGAAATATGGAAAGAAAGCCTGAAATACCTGGCGCAGGGCAGTTAATCATAAGGCCGTTCCAAAGAGAAAAGACCGAGGGAGAATGTTGAGGAGGAAGGTCTTGAGGAGGAAGAAGACGTACGTTTTGTGGTGGAGACAGAGTGCGAGGAAGGAAGAGCGAGAGGAGGAAGTGTGTTAGGTGAAATGCGTTTTTTTCTCTCCTGCTTTCCCTCTCTCCTTCTTGCGCGTGTGCAACCATGTTAAGATCTTAAAAGAAATGGAGCAATCTTGATAACAAATGCAGCGTTTATGTCCACCGGATAAAGAAAAAGCAGCACTTCTTAGGTCGGGTGTTACAAAGGAAGGGCGGCCGGTCGAGGGAGGAAGGGGGAGGTAGGGAGTAGGACGGAGGGAGGAATGGAAGGGGGAGGTCAGGAGGTGATTGGGCTGAGGAAGGAAGGGGAGGAAGGAGATCGGGGGAAGGAGGAGGTCAGACAGAGATAGGGCGAGTGAAGGGGGGGAACGAAGGGGAATGAGGGGGGTTGAAGAGAAGGTGCGCAGGAGGCCAGTAGGCAGGGGAGAGGCGGCAGAGAGTCGGGTGGAATCAGGAGGTGAGGTGGAGATCGGGCCAAGGAAGCAAGGGGAGGAAGGAGAGGACGGAGGAGATAGAGGGGTCAGGCGGAGATTGAACGAAGGAAGGGGAGTGAGGTGACCAGGCGAAGGGAGGGCAGAGGGAGGTTTTAAGAGAAGGTCCAGAGGAGGCCGGGAGAAAAGGGAGGTGGCAGGGAGAAGTTGGGCGGAGGGAGGACAGAAAGCAGAAGGTAGTTTAGAGGTTGAGTGGCGTATGAAGGAAGGGAAGTAAGGGGGAGATGAGCATGGGAAAAGCGCGAAGAGGAAAAGGAGGAGGTGGAAGGAGGCCGGGAGGAAGGGGAAAGACGGCAGGGTGAAGTCGGRCGGGGGGAGGGCAGATGGGAGGAAGAGGGAGGGCAGAGGTTGGGTGGGGTACGGAGCAAGGGAAGAGTTCAGGCGAAGGTGGAGAGAGAGAGAGAGAGAGTGGCAGAAGGAGAATGAAGAGGGGCGCATGAGAATTGGGGAAAGGAGGGGAGAGAAGGGCAGCAGAAGCCACAGTAGGATGGGGGGAGGAAATAATTTGAAGAGACGCAGAGCGATATCGAGGGTGGAGTTGGAGGAAGTGGAGGAGGGGGCGCATGGCACAACGTCATGGGAGGGAAGGGAGAGTTGAGGGGTAAGGATGGTACAGTGGCAAAGTGGAAGAGCGGGAGGGATAGCTGTACATGTCCTGGATGGGGAAAAGATGGGGGGACGGGGAATGGGGCAGGGCTAAGGTGGAGTGTGGAAGGCTCGGAACCGCGTGGCAGCGCCACAATGAGCGTTTTTTCTCTATTTCTTTTTGTCCCCCCTTGTGTGATTTTGTGTGTGTGTGTGTTTGTGTGTGTGTGTGTGTGTGTGTGTGTGTGTGTGTGTGTGTGTGTGTGAG